AATCTCAGGATTTCTAATAAGTCTAATTTTTAAGACTTTCAAATCGTCTTAATGCTACTCCGAAATTATTTTCTAACTGCCCTGCTTCCCGATTTCCATAATAAGCTGACATAGTATCTATTACCTTCTAACCCGTATTCCTTTTTCAAAGCACCACTGAATCATTTCTCTCACCTCGTTAGAAATCGCTGAGTCATCGGTAATAGGCCCATCAAATCTAAAGTCCATAACGATCCGCAATGAATCAGTTACGCAAGAACAAGAAGAAAGGTTTTACTATTGCCGTGTTTTGAGATACTATTTCGCTCTCTTTATCTTGAAGGCCAACTGGGACCCATCCAAACATAAGTAGAAATCGCATAAATTTCCTTTCCTAATTGAATCTTTTCCCTCCCCCTTACCATCTTCCAGTAATAATCCACACCTATTAAGAATTCCAACGCTCTTCCTTTACAGCTAAACAAGCGATTCGCAATTCGCACTCCATTTATCATTTTCAGTGTTTGTTTTGACGGCGTGGTCATATGCGCAGCCGTTATGGCGTCAGTGACGAGACAGCTGATTTTTTATTTGTTCTTTTGCTTCGCATCCGAAACATAGAATTCCACAACCTTATATGTTTTAGGTACTGCGTATTTCATTCCGAAAGAATAAATAGACAATGTTTCTTCTCCAACAAATTTTAAGTTTAATTTCTTAACTACACTAATATGAACAAAACTTCGTGTAGCACCACAATCGAAAATTAAATTAGTTAACTCTGACCTTCCGTCATAATGAGCTAACACTGAACAGGTTTGCAATAAAGTATTTTTCTTCAATGATTTATCACAAGGAACAACAGAAAGCGTGTGTTCTTTTGGGGAGTTTTGTGTTTCATCTACTGAATTATCTCGCGAGCTTTCGCACAATTCTTTTATGTTTTGATTTGAAGCCGTTTGCACTTTGTTACGATTTGAACTACTCGTACATAGTGATTCATGATGCGACTTAAACCCGCATTTTAAGCAGTTAGTTTTATTCCTACACGATTTCCAAATGTGATATTTTCGAAAACAAATAAAGCATCTATTTTCAGTACGTAACTTACACAATTTTTCTTTAATGCTTTTGTCACAAGAAAATGAATTATGGGACTTTTCGCAGAAGATGCATGCACGATTATCAACAGCATTGAAACTGGCAGCCGTAGGTACATTTACATTTCTTGTGAATTTTTTATAATCAGACTTAGCATGTTCGAAACGTGGAGGCAAGGTATTTCTTTTATCTCGTGTCAATAAACTCGACGCTTCACGACATTCAATTTCCCGCTTTATGAAGTCCAACAAGTTAGATACATTAATTTCTTCATTTGGGTTTTTCCTTCGATTACATTCCAGAACGAACTCTTCTGGAATAGCTTTTAACAACACAGGTATTAATAACTGACCAAATGAACCTTTCGTAACTCCTTGCGCTTCCAAATTCTGAACTGCAATTTCGATTTCATCATATAACCTACGTAAAGCTTTAATATTATTTGAATTCCTTACTGGTTCTAAATTTAACAGTTTGTTCATGAATTGACTAATTATTATTTCTTTTTTCCCGAATCTATCCTTTAAAGTTTTTATACTCTCATCGTAATTTTTTGCATTTAATTCTAATGAAGATACTACATTACTCGCAGCACCTGTAAGTAATGTTTTCAAGTATGCGAATTTTTCTATCTTACTAAGACTTTCGTTGTTGTCTATAGTGCTTTCGTAACTGTTCCAAAACTCCGTAAATTTTTCAGGATCACTTGAATATTTCTCTAAAACTAGTTTTGGAAGTTTTACCGTACTTTGTACATTTTGCAGTCTAACCAAGTTTTGTTCAGGATCTTTAATACTTATTTTATCCTCTTCCAACATTCGATTAATTCGTTTAATAGCTCGAGAACATTTTTCCTGATATTCCTCAGAACTAACTACATCCACTTCTAGAGAATCTATCTCAATTACGGAATGAATTGCCTCGTCTAATTCTTTCAAATTACTTTTCTTTTCTATTAATAATTCATGCTATTCGCATAATTCATCTGTATCTTTCTTTGCTAAGCTATCTCTCTTAATCTTCTATTTGCTAAGCTATTCTCGACTACTTTAGTTTAGACTACCTCTCAATGCGGTTCTCTTCGTTTTAGTTCTCTTTCGTTTTAATCTATCTAGTTCTGCCATTATTTCGCGTTAATACACAAATGTACCCAAGACTGCAAATTATCAAAATTCAAATCAAACACATTCAAAATTTAATAATAATCATGCTCTTACCTAGGGCATGGTCTGGACACATACTTCCTCGTGAAGTTCACTTTAACAAATCCAAACATTTCCGTAAGATGCACCATTATGACGAACCTGCATTTATCCATGGCAGCCCATAGAGCAAGTACAAAACATCCGATGGTTCAGTTTTTCTAATGCTATTTATACTATTTGTTATATTTACATATTTACAATTGTCCTATTGTTAGGCAGACTACCTTCACAGAAATCATGTTGCCTAATCAAACGACATTTCGTTTCTACTTACATGCATTACGCTACTGCCAAGCAGCGCCCTCTACTTCTCTCTTTACAACACCTCATTGGCTTCTGCAAAGGAACTGTATATCATTGAACTTGTGCATCTTCAGCACTGCACAGCGACAAAGGAGAAATGCAAATTTCCCTTTTCCTCTTAGAGCTCAAAAGAGAATAAAACAAAAAAAGCATTCATTAGTTAAATTTCAAGTTCTAATAGATTCAGAAGTTTTCCATGTATGTTCTGCTCATGTATTCTCTGTGTATTGCCAAGATTTTTCATTAAAGTATTGGCGGACATTTCTGCTTTTGACACTTACTTAATGCCAGATTCTTTTTTGTTATATACTCTCTAATGTAATGAAAACAAGTATCAATATGTTTTTTTCAAGAGTGATGGCCTGCATTTTTCACTAAATACTGTGCACTTTGATTGTCATTCTATAACACAGTTGCTTCTGCTGTCTTCTCTGAAAAATCTAACTCTCTTAATAGCAAATGGAAGTGCATCACTTCTTTTGAAGCTTCAATTAATGCTATGTGCTCTGCTTTAGTACTTAAACCGCTACAATGCGTTGCTTGCCACTAAATGATATGATTGATTTTCAGGAAATTGGGTTTCTTGCTAATATGAAACCATAGCCACTAAATTGATATTATGTTGAGAGATAAATGATAGCCACTAAATGATGTTATGTTCGGCCCAGTCTGTATCTACATAACATTTAAGACTTTTATTTGTTTAATGATCACCTATTTTGATGTTAAACATGGATTCATAGTATGTGTTTGCTTGAATACAATGAAAGTATTTCAGGTGATTGTTAAATTGACTAAGTATACTAACAGAATTTGCAATTTCAGGTCGTGTGGATATAGCTAGTAAATTAAAGATCTGATTAAAGATTGCTACTTATTTTTGTCTACACGTTCATTTTCTTTGGTGATTATTGATGATTTGCATAGTTTAATGTTAGAATCTAACAGTGTTGATATAGGCATACATGCTTGCATACCATATTTAGCCTAGTGTTAATTTATGTACTGAATTTTACTAATTGATCTATTTTTATTTAATTTGATAATGCCTAAATATTGTTGGACTGTTTTCTTGTACCAAAATTTCATTTCAAAAGTTTTGCTGGGTGTTTTCTTAATGTGTATCATGGATGATTCGCTCTTGGTTAGAATTATCAAATCATGTACATATATTGTGATTATTATTCAGTCATCTGTTCATTTTTGAACATAAATACAGGTACCTGACATTAATTTTTATAATTTGAGCTTTCACAAAGTTTCATCTAATTTTAGATTCCACATTCGACTTACTAACTTAATTCCGTAAATTGACTTTTACAGCTTACAAAATTTGCCATCAGAAGTTATGAAACTTTCTGGTTGAGACATGAAAATCTCTTCATCAGTTATCCTGTGAAGATAAGCTGTTTGAATATCCATTTAATGTATTTTCGGATCATATTCGGCAGCTAAAGCAAGCAGCATTCATATAAAGTTGTAGTGAACTATTGGTGAATAAATTTCCTAATCTATTCCATACTTTTGCAAGTATCCTTTGGTGACAAGTCTGGCTTTGTACCGATTGACTGTGTCCTCTGCTTTATTCAGAATACCCATTTTCATCTAGTAGATTTTCTATTTTATGCCCAACTGATTAATTCCCATGTAGTGCTTTTCGCCAAGGAATTGTATTCTTGAATAGCTATTCTGCGTTTATTTGCATCTGGTCTTGATAAAGCTTCTTCTACAGCTTCTGAATCTATAAAACTTTGGAGTTTACTTAATTAGCATGTTTCTGCTGATAGATTTTTCTTGGTCTGCCCAGTTTTCCTGTTTTCAGAAATGTAGGACTTCCTGGTCCGCTTTCTGAACTTTGACCTTGAATTGCATTTTCTTCAACATCTGCTCTTCCTTCATTTAGCACTTCAGAATTCTTTTTGACTTTTGAATTTCCTTCACTAAGAACAAATTGAATGGAATTCCTATTGTTCAGCTGTTGAAGTTTTTGATCTTGTTTCAGTTTCCAGCAGTTCCAAAAATCTGACACCATGACTTTGTGTTATTATGCTTCACAAGTTGCACTGGATGCAGGTACGTATCACCCTGTTCCAATGAGTTAATCAGTGTTTCTAGTGAATAAAGTTAAAGAAGAACATAAATATGGAACTTTTATTTCATACTGAAAACCAAGATTAATGGTATATAACAGTGTAACCACAGGCATTGAGTGTTTCTTTTGTGTTAAGCTTGTGAGTAGTTTATTTTTTTGCTCATGGGGGCTAGAAAGGGTTAAAAATCCTCACACTGTTCAGTATGCAATAGATTTTCTAATGCATACATTCTTGCATGGTATAATTATTTTATTCATGATTAAACTTTTATTTTTATCAATACCCTAATTTATTTCTGTTTGCAGATAATTTTGAAAGTGAGAGATATCAGATTTGAGAGTCTTGTCATTATGATGTTTGTTAATGAAGAATTTGAAGAATCTCAACCAGTTTTCTCTGAACCAAAAAAGGTGTGTATTTTTTTATTTATTTTTTTTTTATTTGTGCATTTGTGAAGAGATATATGTGTTTTCAGATTGATAAGATTCCTTAAGGCTAATTATTTCTTTTGTAAAATGCTGTTCTACACTATGTACAAGTATACATCATGTCTGAAAAAGTCCTTACTTTGGCTTTATTTTTAAAACCATTGGTTGTAGACACATACTTCCAATTACAAAAATGTTTTAAATGATGCAAAAATTCTCAGTTTCTTATTTTTAAATTAGAAAAATTTGTTTTTGTTTAAAACCTGAAATCTAACATTTTACACTTCACAAAATAATGTAGCGTAGCGGTATCTTAAATTAAAAGTAATAAACATAAGAATACATCAATGCAAGTGGACTATAGTTTAACCTTTATTCAGCCGTTTCAACTTTAGAACACAACACAGCAAAAAGTAAAGCAAGAAGGTTACAATTAGTGTTTGCAAGAATGCACAAGCAAAATGCGAGCTGCGCATTGCGAAATAATATCTCACAGACATGCAGAGCTCTGGTGGCTGAAACATTCCGCTCGCCGTTGAAACATCGTTTCAAATCTAATAAGCTTTTTCAAAATGAAATTATCATAACAATATTAAATTATGCAAAAATGTGTCATTAAAATATTCACAAGAAAACATAATATGAAATTTTGAAATTAAGCTAAATTGTCCTCAAAACAGATGCACAGAAGCCTTGATACAATTCAGGAACTTAATTATATTTAAAGCAAAGTACAAAGTTATAATGCTTTAGGAAAAAAACTTAGGCAAAACACTAAGTTTGTGAATTGGCCTTTTGAAAATTCCATTAGCAGTTTTGAGCTTCATGATACATACAATATTATCTGAGGTAGGAAACACTTTCATTGGTTTTCCTCTTCGAGATACAAAGCGTTTCAAAGTGGCAATAAATGATTCTAATGTTAGATTACATACTAATTCAATATGTATAGCTCTTGTAGTAAAACACACGAATACACAAATGTAGCATTTCATTGGTTTTACTCCTCGACCTTGCCTGGGCTTCACTTGAAATGGCCCGGCGTAGTCAATTCCAACTTTGGAGAAAACCTTTGACGGAACGACTCTAGACGATGGTAAATCAGACATTATCTGAAGAGATGTTTTAGCTCGTACACGATGACATTTCACACATTTCCAAATCTGTTGTCTTACAACTGACCTAGCGTGGATTATCCAATATTCTCTTCTAATTACTGATAGCAATAGCAGGGGGCCTGCATGAAGATGGGATTCATGAAAATGATTCACTATAATCTGTGTTATGTGATGTTTCTTGGGCAACAAAATAGGATATTTTCTGTCCTGCGCGATGTTGGATTGTCTTAATCTTCCTCCAACGCGTATAAGTCCATTCTTATCGATAAACGGGTTCAAAGAAAGGATCTTACTATTTGAGTTTAACGGTTGATTCTTTTTCAGAAGATTATATTCATTAAAAAACTCATCCCTTTGAACTACTCTAACAATTGCATTTCTAGCGTATTGCAATTCTTCGGTTTTAAGGTAACCCTTAATCCTTGTTGCGGTAGATTTAGCTGAATTATTCGCAAACCGAAAACACCATGCGATGATTCTTTTAAGTTTCAAAAATGATGAAACTTCATTAAGGACTGGAATTTGCGAAGCGACTGTTCCAATTGAACAAGAAATATTTTCCGTTGTTCCCTTAAAGACTCTTCTGAAAATGGTAAGTTGATAGAGAACGGAATATTATTTGAATTAAGCCACTGAGGACCTGTCCACCACAAGTCATGAGTAGAAAGCTCTGAAGGCAAAAGACCTTTGATGCGCAATCAGCTGGATTCTCCTTTCCTTTTATGTGATTCCAATGCGATGAAGGTAAGACTGATTGAATTTCTGAAACGCGGTTGGCTACGAAAGGTTTGCCAGCGTGTTGGGTTCTGATTGTATCCAGGACAAAACTATCATTGAATCACTCCATGCGTAAATACTGTCAACATGAATTTGCAATGAATTCTGCACAGCTTGAACCAAATGCACTAATAGAACTGCAGAGCAGAGTTCTAAACGAGGAATAGAGATTACTTTCAGGGGAGCTACGCGAGTTTTTGATGTTAGTAGCTGCACCGAAATTGAAGAATGATTTGAAGACTTTAAATAAATCACTGCGGCGTAAGCTTTCTCTGATGCGTCACAGAAACAATGAAGTTCTACATTTGTAGATTTGGGCAATAATACTCTCCTAGGAATATGAATGCATTCAAGATTTGCGATATCTTCACAATAGATTTTCCATCTTTGATTGATTTCATCTGGCAAGGGATCATCCCACGAGATTTGTAATTTCCCATATCTTGAAGCAAGATTTTTGCTGCAACTATAAAAGGTGCTAACCAACCAAGTGGATCAAAGATTTTCGAAATAGAAGATAAAATTATTCTTTTAGTAGAACACTCTCTGTTTTCGAGATTTTCCAAAGTGACAAGTAAACTCGTCTTGCGTTGGATACCACTCCAAACCCAATAATTTTATTGATTTAGTATCAACTACTGTACATGAAGAATTTGAGTTCCGAGCACTCAAAGCAGTTTTCCAAAATCGAGCGATCATTTGTACACCATTTATGCAATTGAAAGCCACCTTTTTGTAAAAGTTCACTCAGTTGTGAAATTAACTCTACTGCGTCTTCTACTGTGTCTGAACCAAATAGGACATCATCAATATAACAATTGTGTAATATTATTTCAGCTGCCTTTGGGAATTTAGTTCCTTCGTCAATTGTTAGTTGTTTGAGTACGCGAGTAGCCAGGTATGAAGCGGAAGTACGTAACTGTGCACAACCTGTAAGTTTTAATCGGCTTCGATGGATCATCTCTCCAAAATATTTTTTGGTAATCGCGATCTTCATCATGAATTTGAACTTGTCGATACATTTTCAATAAGTCGCTAGTAATGGCTATGGGATAGCATCTAAACCTCAAAAGAATAGTAAATAAGTCGTCTTGTACCTTGGGACCATTCATTAGCGTGTCATTAAGCGATATCCCTGATGTAGTTTTGGCACTAGCATTGAAAACGACGCGTAGTTTTGTGGTAAGACTGGATTCTTTTAGCACGTGATGATGAGGTATATAATAATGAAAATTTACTTTATCTGGATTATCATCGGATAATTCTTCCATGTGTCCAAGTGATAAATATTCGGACATGAAGTCTTTATACTGTTGATATACTTCAGGAGTTTTTATTAATTTTTGTTCCAGACTAAGAAAGTTGCGAAAGGCTGATGGTCTGGAATTACCCAACTCATTTCTTTTAGGCTTGAATGGCAGTTTTACTGAGTAACGACCATTTTCACTACGCACGTGATTTTCCACGAAATGATTTTCACACAATCTTTCCTCTTTAGTTAAAGGTTTCGATGTGGGAATTTGTTCCAAATCCCAAAATGATTTAACTAATTCCTCCGTGTTTACGTTTAGCGTATTGACTGAAACCTGCTTACGGTTTGGGAATTCAAAATGTGTAGTTCCAGCAATTATCCATCCTAACTTAGAACAACATGCAAATGGAAGATTTTTGCCCCTTTTTATTACCTCGCCATTGATTAAAGTAAGGAATACATTAACTCCAAGTAAAATATCAATTTCTCCCGATTCATGAAATGTAGGATCTGCTAAATCTTTGAAATTTTCATATAAATTCAAAGGTAATGTTACACTTGGAATGTTTCCTGTAATTTTGTCTATTATGTAAGCGGACGTTGAAATTCTGTAATTAGTATTAAAATGAGGTGTAAACAACAAGTCAACTTCTCCAGTAGTAGTTGTATTGAAAGTACCTAAGCATGACACTAATATCTTCGAATCCTTTATGCTCAATCCTAAATTGATAGCTGTTTTCCGACGAATGAATGATTTTTCACTACCTGAATCTAGTAAACATCTACAATTTATGAATTCATTTTTTGAGTTTTGAACCTTAATTAAAGCAGTACACAAAAGTACATGACTACGTTTACCATTAGCATGAGCTCCAAAATGTTTATTTTCATAGTTGTTTGCACAAACAGTTGGAGAAACCTCACTCAAGTTGTTTTCTGGTTTAATTTGCGATTTCGGAACAAACACTTGTGCTTCCGGTGAAGGGAATCTAGATGCATTTTTTGGTTTGAAATTATTTTCTAAATGCAAAATGCTATGATGATGCTTAAAACAATGCTTGCAGGTGTTTGCACTCTTACACATTTTAACTTTATGGACATTAGACAAGCAATTAAAACAAAGTTTATTAGTCTTAACAAACTCTATTCGTTTTTGCACTGGTAAATTAAAAAAAATTAGAACACCTGTATAAAAAATGATCTTCTTTACAAAATAAGCAAGTAGAATTAGTAATCAGAGAAGTAACCCTATTATACACTGGTTTATCTGATTTATGCGTTTTACTAATTAAAGGTTTACTGTTCTGTAATGTTCTAGCGTAATTCTTCAAAAATTCTATCAAGTCATTCAACTTTGGTATTTCGTCTTTTTTTAATTGACGCTCCCACCACAACTTTGTCGAAACGTCAAGTTTTTGCAAAATAATATACAACAACAAAGTATCACTAAAATTATCTATCCTTTGATCTAATATTTCCAATGAGCGAGTTATTTCGTTTACGTTATCTACTAAACTTAATATCGAGGATGCAGATTCCGTTTGTATTTGTGAAACGTTAAGAATTCTTTTAATAAAAGCAAATATCTGTTCTCTCTTATTAGAAAATCTCTCTTCTAGTAAATTCCAAGCAATACTGAAATTTTGATCAGTGACTGAATAATGCGATAAGCATCATTTTTCAAAGAACTCTTTAAATATTGTAATTTTTTGAGCTCCAGAAAGATTTGATTGCCTCCACCCGGCGACCTTTGAAATTTCATGGCTAAACTCGTAACGCTCAGAGTGTTAAATGTTATCCATTCTGTTAAATTTCCGCTAAATGTGGGTAAAGATAATTTTGGTAACTTGAAACTTTCAGAGATTGATTCAGGTTTGTCGCCATTTGCATTTACGACCTTATCGATCTTTAACTTAAGAATAATTTTTAAGTGAACCTCCTCAATTTTCTGTCATACTGTGGAATTAAACTCAAAAGTTTCCTTAATTTCCTACTGGGTTCCCTCAACATATTAGTTAATTATCTGGCATTCGGAGTATAGAGAGATATATCAGTTGTGCACAGTCTAGGCCTGCTGCTGTATCAATTAAACATCTGCCAAAATAAAGGTGGATGCAGGCTTTCCTTTACATCTTGTGGATATGCACGTTAGGTATGGATTATAGAATAGATATGTGCTTTAGAATGGATGGTATAATTTTCTAAAGCAGTTATGCAATAAAACTCATATCGGAAGAAATCTGAAGGAAGTTAATGAAATAGCCTTCTGGTCTAGTTAGTTCAAAAGCAATCATCATAGTCATCAAGAAGGTATTTATTTTCACAAAAGAAATCCAGAAATCAAATACTTATACCTAGTTTCAAGTAGTCCTGTAAAGCATAAGCATTACAAAGTTTCACTTATGTGTAACTTAAAGTAACATTACCTGGTGTGCAGAAAGAAATTGTACTCAAGAATTTCAAATGCAAAAAAATGCATTGTTCTCATGCAGTCAAATTAAGTGGTGTTGCTAACTCAGCCGATAGGGGCATTAGTGAGACCTATTTAAAACTGATTTGTTTACTTTTATTTTTAGAATGTAGTTAAATGTAGCTAGATATTCAAGATGTGTCTTGTCAAGTGAATTGTCCTTCATTATAATGTGTCAATAAGGGATTAAAAGCTAAGTAATTTTCAATTACTCTCTTTAGAAGCTTCAGAAGATCAAGAACCAAGTAAGATTTATATCCGATTTTGTTTTATGGTGTTGAAACCCGGGAGCTATAGTAATTGAAATTGGCACAGCCTAGTGAATTAGAGGAGTAAAAGAAAAACTATTCAAATTTCTTTATTTTAACTAAAATTGAGAATAAAATAAATGACACATTAAAAGGGGACAGTATTGATTATGACGATTTGGATGATTTGAAATACCAGTTAGAAGAAAGAGCTAATCAGATCTATCAGTTAGATTCTACCATAGAAAGCATTATAAGTGATTTAGAAATGCTTGAAGCTAATGTTCTGACAAGCCAGGAATACCGCGAAAAGATTACAAGTTCCAGATCGAAACTAGAAAGACACTAAGCATAAACATGAAAATGAAAGTAAAATTGATGCGCACAATGAATCCTCTAGAATTTCTGAAGAAGGGGTCATTATTAATTATCCTAATGTTAAACTGAGAAAATTAAAAATAGAACTGTTCGACAGCAAATATGAAAACTGGCAGGGATTTCGGTGGACAATTTGAAGGTGCAATTCATGAGAATAAACAGTTATCAAAAATTGATAAATTTAACTATTTAAAATCGTTCTTAAAGGATTCCGCATTAAAATGCATACAAGGATTGACATTAATGCAAAATAATCACGATTTAGCTGTTGAACTATTAAAAGAGCGATTTGGTAAAAACGAAATTATTGTACGTTGACATGTAAACAAACTTTTAGGCTTAACTCCTGTGAAATCATGTTCGAACTTAAAGGAACTGAGACAGTTACATGACACAATTACTATTCAGATTCGAAATCTCGAAACAGCAGGAATAGAACTAAATAATTACGGTGGAATTCTTTTTGCAATTTTAATAAAATTAATTCCTGAAGATATCTTATTAGAATATAATCGTTCTGTTAATGAAGAAGACTCATGGAATTGTTCAAAATTACTCCGGTTTCTTAAAAAGGGAAATAGAAACATGTGAGAAAACATTTTTATTTCAGAAGGTAAATGAAGCCGATAAAATGAAAATTTCCCAGTTCAGGAAATATGAGAATTCTAAACGTCTACCGACAGCAGCGGCATTAAATGCTACTACAATTTAAAATGCGTGTATATTTTGTTCTACTGATGAACATACGATCAATAAATGTCCTTTACGTATAAGTGAACGGAAGGCTAGTTTATTATGTCTTGGATATTGTTTTAATTGTTTAAAAAAAAACTCATGTTTCTAGATTTTGCCATGATCAAATACGGTGCAAGAAGTGCGGTAAAAAACATGGCCATTATATTTGCAAGGAGGGATCAGTGACAAAAGGCTTATCGGGAAATGAAATAAACAAAATAAAGATTGATGTCAGCGATATAAATCATACATTAAATTATTCTGTTTCAAATTGAGAGGGTTGCAACATATATTTGCTGACAGCCAAAGGTATGCTAACGAAGGGAAAACAGGAAGTGCGATTTAAGTGTTTATTAGATACAGGGAGTGAAAGAACTTTTATTGATAAACAGATATCTCGTAAATTAAAGTTAGAAGTGATATGTCAGGAACGTTTAAGTATTTTTGTTTTTGGTTCCAAAGCAGAAAAAACAATGAGTAATCGTGTGAAGGTAAATTAGAGAAGTGTTTATAATTCGAAGGAAGTAATAACCTTAGAAGCTATCGAAACTCCCTTTATTTCCGAAGCTATAGTTAAAGCACCTGGTAGAGAAATTAGTGGTTATTGTAAACAGATGAAAATACAAGTGTCAGATGAATTAGATTCTGAAAATTTAAGAATATTGTTGTTAATTGGTTCAGATTATTTTTGGAGTATCGTTACTGGGAAAGTAAAACGAATGTCAAGATCATTAGCAGGAATGGAAATGGAACTTTGGTATGTGTTCAACGAATCTGGCGCCTCAATCAGATCGAACTGTAGGAAAGTTATAGCGATGAAAACATAGAAGAAATGGAGATTTTAAAGAAAATATTTGATTTAGAAAGTTTGGGAATTGATAATTTTAAAGATGATGAGGTTTTAAGGAAATTCGAAAGCTCTATAAAAATGGTTAATGGTTGCTATGAAGTCAGTCTTCCGTGGAATGAAAATGTTGAATTTTTATCCGATAACTATGCCATTGCCGAAGGACATTTTCAAAAATTAGTTAATAAATTTAAGAGAAATTCTTCCTTTCTTAATCAGCATAAGGAAATCATTTCGAAGCATGTTGCAGAAGGAATAGCCGAAAAGGTCGATTCCCGTATGTCTGAAAATAAAGTTTATTATATGCCTCACCAAGCAGTAATTCGTGAAGATAAATTAACTACAAAAATGAGAATTGTTTTTAATGCATCTTCTAGTGTAGCAAACTCCGTTTCCTTTAACGACTGTCTGAACCCCGGTCCGAATTTAACGCCAGATTTGTTGGCCTAATTTCTGAAGTTCAGATTGATTAGGGTCGCCATCACAGCTGATATTGAAAGTGCATTCTTGCAGATAGCATTAGCACCGGAAGAGAGAGATGCTGTCAAATTTCTGTGGAATAAAGATGATACGAACATGGAACGAGAAGTGCTGAGAATGACACGGGTTAGTTTTGGGCTAAGGTCAAGTCCGTTCTTGCTAAGTGCAGCATTGAAACACCACATAGCACACAGCAATTATAGGACTTGAAAAACGGAACTTTGTAACTGAAGAAGAAATTATGTCTGTTTATAGAATTGAAGAGAAAGTATTATCACATAAAACGAAGCAACTTAAACAACTTTTTAGCAAATTTTCTTTTTTAACTTACATTTTCTTTCTTAAAATTAAATAATAAAAATTTTTTAAGGAATTCATTTCAAAATTTAAATTTTACTTGAAAAAATTTGGGGAATTTTTTTAAGACATTTTAAGACTTTTAAATTTAAATTTAAATTTTTTAATTTTACTTTAAAACATTTTAAAATTTTAAAACATTTCAGTTTTACTCAATTACTTTTTAATTTGCAATTTTCACAAAAAAATAATTTTTTCACTTAACGTTATTATTTGCATTATTTACACAATTTTGCAACAGAACACACATTTAACATTACAAACAAGTTTACATTTATTAATTCACAATAACCACTTAACTCTACTTTACTTCAATTAGAGTACTCTTTTTATAATATTTGCAGAGCAAACTTACATCTATTGATTGGCTCAGCTACTATACTCCCTACCATAAATAGTTGGTCAGTTAAAATTAAAACTTGATTTACATACTTTTAGGATATTATTTGATTTTTTCTAGATTTATATTATTTAAATATTTTTATATTAAAGTTTACAAAATTTTTAATAAAACAAAGATAGCAGCTTGGCACTCAACTTTATTTACATTAGTGCCATCTATATAATTTGCAGAACATACTTACATCACTTAGGAAATACTTTTGGAGACCCCAACGCTAATATGGTAGGTAAGTTAGAATTAAAACTTACTATTTACTTGCTCTTAAGTATTTTTTATGTAGTATTTAAGTATTTTCTATATATGTAATTATATTTTTAAGTATATATTTGTTTTTAATAAATTATGAATTAATTCTTTTTAGTTTCTTTTTGATTGATATGCATATCCGTGTCAGGGAGGTTTCTGTAGACAAGGGTTTCTAAAATGCATTGGTTTCTAAATTAATTTTTCTGGAAAATTTAATTTAATACTAGACTTTACATTGCTTATTTCTCGAAATACTTCATTATTGGTATTTAATTTTTAATTGCTAATTTCTCAAGGTACCACTTTATTGGTATTTCTTTTTGCACAATCTTCACTATGTATTTACTTTTGGTTTTGACTTTTACCCCTGCCTGCATGAAAAATTCATTCACTTATGCATTTTTTTTTTAAAAAAATTTAGATTAATTTTAATTTGCTAAATTGGTGAATTTATTTTCATGGTTTGGTTTTGCACTTGATTTACTTATGCTATCTGAATTTAAATGATATTGTAGATTAGTTCGTAAATTAAATCTTTTATATGTTTGCACATTTTTTTAATTAATTTAACTTTAATTTTGCTTTTTTATGTATATACATGTTTGTTAAAATATATATACACAATTATGTTAATTGAAAAAATATATATATAAATGCTTTTCATTGCTAATTTATGCAAATAATGTTGTGAGTTTTTTGTGTTCTAATGCTGAGGCCTGCCACTGAAACTAGAAATTAAATTCGGCAAGATTCTGTAAAGATCTTTTATGAAAAGAAAAAGTATTTTGATAGGTACTTTTTAAGACTGTTTGTCACTCAATCTCTTAATCCCCTGAATGACATGACTGCCTTTATCTAGTCATGAGTCGTGCATTATTGTCAAATAAAACTGGAGAAAATCTTCAGCCTCTCAGGTCAGTTTTATCAGTATAATTAACACTTTGATGATCTCAAGACTTTAAAAATCAATCATTGGCAGATCGTTGCAACGGATTAGAACCATTGGAGGAAGCTTGTTGAGATGACCTTGGTCTGTAATAGGCTGTAGTGCAACTGAAGAAAGAAGAAATGAACTGATAAGAAATTCAGGATGCTTCTGAACTTCACAATGAGAAGAGTATTAGATTGTGTGAAGATTATAGGCACATTTTCTGCAAATATGACTTAGTCGAAAATGGGGCTTCGGGATTGTTTCAGGATGTGCCGAAAACTTTTCAGAGACACTGGTATGTCTGAGGAGGATGTGGTAGCATGATTTTTGATTTGTAAAGAAAAAGAAGGAGAGAGGTCGTTTACCTTTTCTTGGGTGGAATCACATCAGCAAAATACAGGGGTAAAAGCAAATAAATCAGCAAAATACAAGGGTAAAAGGTCAACCAGACCTTTTACCCTTGTATTTTGCTGCCAGGAAAATTTCAGTCTGAAAAATTCTTCAAGGAAGGGATTGGAAAACTTATCCACCAGCATGACAAATACTTGAATCTTTATGGTGGTTTTGTCAAAAAGTAACCATGCTTGTACATAACTTTTGGTAATAAATTAATTTTGTTCTTTGCTCTTGTCTTTTTTATGGTCCCTTGGAGACCCTTGTATTTTGCTGTCTGTGTATTTGAATTTTCGTGCATTTATTGTAATATTTGAATAGATGTATTTGATAATAATGTTTGAATTAGATACATATTGAAGAGTTTTGATTAAGTGTACAGCGCTAAAGTCGGTTATCTTATTGCAGAGAATGGAGTAGTTATTGCTGTTATGGTTGAACACAATTGCAGCTATCAGCAAGTAATTATGCTAATACTCTTGTTGGGAACCTGCCCTTTTCCCATCAGAGTTGTATTTATTTATTTTGTGTGTGTGTGAAATTCTTCTTTATGAAAATTTTACATTATTTCATGATATTAGACATTAGACTTTTTTTTTTACAGTAATACTTCCCCACTGGTTGACAAGTGGTTAATATTGCTGAAGACCAGTAGTTCAACCCAGATTTGAACCCAGGTGAATAGGTTGGCTGTGTGATTTGTTTTTATAGTTTTTTTCATGTCAGCAGGCTACCTTGGGAAAATCAGACCCCTTAGGCAGATATGTGTGCTGTGCTGCATTAAAAATAATTTAACCTATTAATCTTACAATAATACGAGCAACTAACTATTTTAACACAATTACATTTCACAACTGTGAACACTGCACACCCTTTATGGACTGGCCATTTAAGATCTCAACCAGACCTTTAAACCATATTAGTCTGTAGGCCCATATATGTCCCTTTAACCCGTTGACGGGCGATGGGACCCGTATCAGTTTTTATCTCCCGGTTGAAAGCTGCAAAATTCCATTTAAAGTACATGCAATTATGCCTTTTAGTTTTCCAAGTGTATAATAGATGGCAGCGCTAGTATTCGTTCATGGAAATAATGTACAAAAAATTCTTTGCAGGTCTAATTTTGAAGCAGTTTTTTTCCTTAATTTCTTATAAAATGAATATTTTTTTCAGAAAGTTTCCTTTTCTTATAAAAATTATTATTTGAATTCATATATATTAATTAAAAATGGTTGAAATTAAAAAAAATTGAGAGAAATATGTCTCACCGCGCATGTAGGAAATGCTGCTACTATGTGGCAGCACGATTCAAAATTTTTTTAAATTCAAGTACCATGTTCATCTCATATATAAATAATGCAAATGTATATTTTTTAATAAATTGCTGTAATGTTAAAACTTGAAAAAGATTTAATATTTTTTCCAAAAGGAATGAAAATATAACTCTGTAACATGAAATGTCCGAATGGATATGTGAGTGTGATTTACCATTGAAAAATGTCCTAAGCAGAGGAAAGAGATGAAATGTAAATAAACTTCATGGCCTTCTAAAATATTGCCCTTTTTCAAACCTGTAGCAAATAAAGTACTGGAGCAACAATCTTTTCTGTTTCAAATCTATTATGAAATCATTAAAAAATATCTAAAAAGTCATACTGGGAGCAATTTTTTTTAAATTATGTAATTTTTTATAAAAAAATTATTTTGCAAATATGATTAATATTTTCTAGATAATTATTCAAAAACATTTTTTATATCTTTCATTTTCATTTGGTTGCTGAAACTAGCACTTTGTTGTATAAGCATGTTATGCGAATTTACACTCAGGCAAAGATCCCATTTTATTGCTCTAGATGCGTGGTGGGACAAGCGGTATCCCATGGCGTCATGAATTACCTTAAAGGTTTATCTGTTTTTTTGGTATGGAATAACCTTGTATTAGGGACTATTTATCTATGTGTAAAGTTATTTTTCCCCAAAATATTTTTTTTATGCACCAAACCTCAGTAACCATAATGTTTCTCAGTATTTAGTTAAAATTTTATTCCTGCACTCACAAGATATTCTAGTACTACTTAGGGATATGGAACTTCCTACAGTGCAGAAATAACATATCTATCAGGGTTTTTTTTCCTCCTTCCTTTTGTCATATCTGCAGCACAGGTATGACACTGCTTTGACAGATACTTCTTATTTCCTGAAAGTGGTTGATTTTGACCCTTCTTCTTTCTCCACTGTTTTGTCTGTATTATTGTTGGTATCCACTGATTTATCATTTCTTTCAGGCCAGAAATTCTTACATGACTTCTTGCTGTTATACAAGAACATACTGATTAGTGATATCTGTAGACCTTAAAGGCATTGGAAAAAACACAGTGTGGGAGCCACAACATGGCATTTTTGCTTCATTTCATGGTTTTCGAGGATTGTGTAAGAGGAGAAACATTGATCTCTCCTGTTTACACTGATCATATATTTCTTATATCTGAATATTCAAAATTGCTTTTTTTACAATGCCTTCCTTTTTTACTTTGCCTTCCAGTGGTTGCATGGTACACTGTGCTGACCATTCTAACTTACCTGTAAGTCTAAAGAACATCATTCCTACTGCAGAAAATGCTCTGGCCTGCTTTCAAAATGTTGTTATCTTTTACAAGTGACTTTGCAAGATCTCTAGTGCTTCTTATTGTACCGCAAATTCTAGTCTTTGAAACAGATTTCACTATGGCAACATTACTATAATGTAATAATTGTCTTGTTAGATTGTTATAATGATAGTCTTGTTAGATGTGGTGCCACATATTAAGGTTTGGTCTTAGAACAAAGAAAATTGTGTATTCCAATTTCATCCATTCTTTAGCATAAATTTCCATTTTACATATGCAGCCTGTAGTAATCTTACTTATTATACAAAATTCCACATTTTAGTAGTTTTCCAAGATAACATGTATGTATTCTTAGACAATATCTCCATGAAAGGAAGAGTTTCTGGGTTGCCTTATAAACAGTCTGGAATCAGTATGTTACATGTTGCAGAACCGGTCTAACTTTATAAAATCTGTCATTAGTATTTTTAATTAAAATTTGTCACTAAAATACCAGAAATTGGAAAATTTTTTTGCAACAATTTCTGTTCATTTAGCAAACTTGGGAATTTCTGTCAAGGAACTGTACAGTAAGCTGTGATCCTGTTTTGCTTTACTTATTCCTTCCAAATGTAGCTGATGGGAATTTTTCCATTTCTTTTTTAAATAATGCTATTCAACTGTAGAGGTTTTGCCAAATGTCTAATCAGCATTTTGATTTCGATATAAATCAGACTCCTCAATAAAAAGTGAAAAAATTTCATTTTCATAGAGGACTTCCACTGCCTCAGCAGAAGAATGATTATTGTTCAAGTGAAATCTATTGACAGTTTCAAATGGTTAACCACTGCTCATATCAGTTTCTTCCAATCAAATTATTTCAACTCAAGCAGGATTACAGTTATCAGAATTGGATTTTGAATCACTAGAAATGTCTAATATATGACAGTTTTCTTTTACACGAAATATCAAAGTTAAATTTACTTTGTCACTACTGTCACTTTGAACATCATTTGGACACAGTTAAGTCTCTAGAAATTCTTGAATAATTATATTTGCATAGAATATAAT